CATATTATGTGTACCGTAATAACTTGTATATCGCAGCGCTTCCTGAAATGTACCGATTTTTTTTCAACAACTATTTACGGGGTACCTAACCCATATTGGTTCATTGTTTGTAAGCGCACGGTCGTAAAACGATCTCCGACCTCGAAATGTTATAATAACATCATATAAACACACCGCGAAGCTGCAGCGGAGAATACGTTTGGTTTAAGAACAACGAATTTTAGTCGCTCCAGATTTAAAGTCGCCTAGAGCAGCGATTCTCAAACGAAGGGGGTGATCTAACCTAACCGACCCCTATCGCTAACAATTTTTTTAGGGTCAAGTGAAAAAAAAAATTATTTCAAATCGACAACAGCGAAAGAATCTTTAAATTAAAAAAATATTAAAAGTTACATCATTTTTATTTTTTTCTATTAATTAACGCCACCAATCGTGGCTATTATTTTTATTATTTTTTTTTATAAAAGCTAATAATATACTTTTTTTTTGTAAAATGTATACACTTGAAATAAATACAATAATAACAGTTTGTAAAATGTTCACAATGTTTACACTACAAAAGGGTCGTTAGGCATATTGGTGACATTAGTGGCGTACATACAATCTTGCTCTGGGGGAGGGGTTAACAAAAATAATCATTATCTTTTTTTTTTCGTTGCACACATAAATAAGATAAATAACTGCTATAAATAAATATTATTTTATACAACTTTTTTACCAATTTACAGTTTACTTTGACATTACAGTAAATTAATAGCTATTGGAATATAAAAACAGCATAGTTAACAAAACTTTTCAAACACCTATCAATATAATTATTTAATTATCATAATATTTGTATGGTTGTATATTTTAAGTTCAAAGCGTAATAATTAAACTACGAATATATTACACGTCATCAATAATAAAACAATTTTCTTTTTTTTTTTTTTTGGCCCTGGGGGAGGTTTAAACCCGAACCCCCCATACGTACGCCACTGGATGACATTATAGAGGGTCGCGAACTCGAAAAGGTTGAGAACCGCTGGCCTATAGCTCATCGTCGTCGCCACGTAACAGTGGATTAGCAGTGGTAAAAAGAAAGAGTAATAATAAAATAATAGGTAGATGATAGATAAGAATAGTAATATTGTAATGGCGATGGATTGTGTGAACACCGCCGCCGCCGCGTCGCCAACATTTCGTCGGGCGGTTTCCCTCGTCTTCTCGGCGCTTGCACAGCACGACAACGAACGAAAATAAAAATCATTTTTCGGTCGATCCAAGGAACGTATAATTATTATAAAAATATATTCTAAAAATGCTCTAATCGCGTCATAAACCCGAACGCACATCTCCATGTACGTGCATCATTTGTTATATTTTATACTTTTACAAAACATACACTGGACTCGTAAAAGTAATTTTATATTAACAAAAAAAAAAAGTTTTCCCAACACTAGCTATCGGATTAATATGAGCACTATTACTTTACAGGTTCAAAGTTTTTGCCGCATCTAGCAAGTTCGACTGTAAGAACGGTGACGCGGCTTCACCGACCGGTCCAAACGCCACAATGGTATTAATAACCGCATATCACATCACCTCTACCCTTTACCGTTCCCGGCATTAGTTTCGATCGTATCTGTTGTCGTCAACGTCAGGTAATGTTCACCGAGTAATAATCGTATTTATTATTATTACATTGCGTTGCGATTAAGTGGCGTCTGAAGAGTATTAATCGCGCGTAATCACCTCCCTTTGGACCGTAGTCCATCCGGGCGGTAACGTTGATATGTGATATGTACACATTACGTAATCACATTAGATACGCGTAGGAATCGTTCGGGTGTATTATTATTTAAATGTTTCGAACAACTAGTGCGCGCGTGCAGTTAATAGCAGTAGCAGTAGAATTAGACCGTTGGTGTATGCACACACGAACTGCGTAAGTACACACGGACGGAAAAATCGGGTGAGAAAAAAACAAAAAACAAAATTACCGACGGGAAATGGAGGTAGGGGATAGGGAAAAGGAAAAAAAAATTAAAAAAACCCGCCGGAGATGACCCTTTCACCTGCGAAACGCGGTCGCACTCGCACCGATCCGCACGTCTTATCGGGTACGTATACCCGACACATTATCCAATTCGCGACGGTCGGCTTGCGCGTGCGCGTTCGTGTCTATAATTATAGCCAAGCTCGTGTGCTACGCGTCACTCTATGATTGCGCGCGGAGGACGGTGCCCCTCTCCCCCCGCGTGGTGCCTTCTTATCGTACGCGATAATGCGCGTGCGCGCGTTCAAAAGTTGTGCCCGCGACGATCACGTCGGTGCGCCAATCTCTGCACGCCAGCGATACGGTCCCCCCTCTCCCAGCTAGCGTAGGCGGAGGAGAACGCGAAAACGGTCCCGGACAGCTCGTCCCATCCGGACGCGTTTTCGTCGACTGTTGCTGTCGTCACCACAGTGATCGGTGTTATCGATCGCCGATCATGTGTAACCGTCACGACGACGACGACGATCATTTTCGGATCTCCGGTAACCGTCCGCGCGGTCACGTGCCCACGTTACGGCTTTGCATCGCACCTCGACGTCCGATCACATAAATTAGCATCGATTACGCGCCAAAAAGCGCGGTTCGTCGTCGGTCGACCTCTACCGCGGTTGTATTGAGGTCACCGATCACGTTATTGTACATATTATGTACTCCCCGGCGCGTTGACCACGGTTATACTGTCGATCAACGCGAAGACGCGATCCGCAACACAGATAATTTAATGTGTGCCATATGCCTTCCATCTTTACTGAAGCGCCCCCTTCGTCCACGAACGAAGATCTTTGGTCCGCCACGTACCACGTACGTTTAACAGGACACTGACCCAAAATCGATCGTCCACGGAATTTATAACAAGTACGCGATACGCGGCCCGGTAGTTGTTTATTTATCGTATGGCAACACATTTCATCATCAACGACTGATAGGTAAATACGAAACACCACAAATAAGTGAATATATGTAAAACATAAAAAATGGCTCAGTAACAAGTGATGTTTTAATATAGTGAAGCAACAAATATCAATAACATGGCTTCTGGTAGCCATGTGGAGCAGTGGCGTAGCCAGGATTTTTAAATGGGGGGGGACTAACCACTTTTTTGGATAAGTAAGGTAAGAGAGGATATGAGAACCCCCCCTCCCACCATCTACCACCAAGTTTCTAAATGTAATTCAAGCATTTTAGTATAGTTTTAAAAATATTTATTAGTATATAATTTATAATAATAATAATAATTTTGGTTTCAGTGTTCAGTCACTTGCTCCACTCTGACAGCTGCATCCTCTTAGCCGAATTTCTGGCAAATTCAGTTAATATTACACTTTCATCGAATTGCTCTTTTTTATTTATATTAGCCATAGCTAACCCATTCAGTCTGTTTTCTGACATGGTGCTTCTAAAAAAATTTTTAAGCGATTAAGTGCTGAAAACGTTCTTCCCGGAGTGAAAGAGGTAACTGGTAACGTGGCGAATAATTGTAAAAGTATTTTAATGTTAGGTCGAAGATTGGTGCGATGAGAGAGTGAATCAAGAGCAGAATTCGGTTTTGTAATAGTATTTTGACTCCATTGTTGCCTCCATATGAACAGGTCAGCTCTGATTGTAGATGAGGTATCATCATGGAGATCTTGGACATATATTTTAGCAGCTTCTATAATATTTTTATCGTCATACATATTTAAATTGGCCGGAATAAGTTCTTCAAATGGCATAACATCAATAAGCCTTTGATTAAAACGAGCATCCATTGATTCTATTAAATAGTCAAGATACATTATACATGTAAACACGGCCCATGGGGGGGGGCTATAGCCCCCTTAGCCCCCCTCCCTTGGCTACGCCACTGATGTGGAGGTTGTTTGTCTATCGAACGTCCGCAATCACATTCTGGTGTAGGTCTGACCCCCGGTTGCATAACATTTGTCCAGTTTTCCCATGTCTTGTTCTGATTCTATTTAGTGTGGCACATTCTCTGTATTGTAGGTAGAACTCAAGCCGTTGGATTTTCGATAAGGTTCAATGTGTCCGAGTATTCATCGTTCCATTCGTCGATCCATTTGGAATTTGGGTTGAAGCTGTCCGAATGTAAGTATTGAGCAATTCTCTGGGGGTTTTGCGTGATTTTAATCTTCGTGGTTAATGACTTTATGAATCGGCAGGACACTGATCAGGATGCATTTGTCCCGTTCCCGTAAAAGTGAGTACATTCTACGTATATGGAGGGGTTTTATGTTGCTTAACAACACTGGAAGCCATTGCACAGGTGTACATTTTATAGTCCCTGTTATTGTTCTCGTTAATGCGTTTAGTTGTGTACCGATTTCGTTTACGTGTGCAGAGTTAATCCAGACTGGGGCTCAATATTCGACAACTGAGTAAGTAAAAGCTATTGCCGATATTCCTAACGTGTTAGGGTTAGATCTTTAGTAAATGTTGGTAAGTTTTATAGTAATATTATTTCGTGTTTTGATATTTGCTGCATCCTTTGTTAAACGGTTCTTGTAAGTCAATGTCCTATCTAGGGTCACTCCAAGGTATGACGGTGTGTTGACTATTTCTTTTCCATCAAAACCGATATTTATTCCATGCTTAGGCGCGGTAGTGACCGCGGTAGTATTAGCATACGGTTATCAAGATTATCGGATAAAATAACGTGAGTGTGCGTGCGTGTGTGCTTGCGCGAGTGAGGTGAGAGAAAGAAAACGAAATAATAAATACGTAATCCGTATGGAAAAACCGAGACGTTTCGAACGAATTATTCAGAAATGTATAATCACGCACGCGCGGTAGGGTAATGGCGAGGAGTGGCATGCGGCGAGGCCGACACGTACGTCGCGCGGTAGCGGACGACCGAGCACGTTTCCGCGCGAATAATAATAATAATAAAACGTAAAAAGGGCGGTGCGCGGGCGCGCGCACGGAGAGCGGAAAAATAGCGCGGGAAAAACGCGGTACGTCTTACCTTCCATCCGGCGGAACTGTTGCTGTCCCCCTTGTCCTTGAAGTACGGCACGTTCTGCACCATCCACTCGTAGATCTGCGACAGCGTGAGCCGCTGTTCCGGCACCGAGCTGATGGCCTGCGTGATGAGGTCCGCGTACGACTGGTTGCCCCACGCGTTTCGCCGGCTTGACGTCTTCTTCGCGGGCCCCGCAACCATGGCACCGCCGACCTGTTGCTGATGCGGCTGCTGCTGGTGCTGTTGCCGCTGCTGCTGGTGCTGGTGTTGCTGTAGCTGGGGCGGCAGCAGCCCACCGCCGCCCGACGACGACGACGACGACGACGGTCCGCCGACCGCGTTGTCCAACAGTTGCGGCGGGCTGTTGCCGTCGGGCAACTGCGGCCCGCCGTCCTCGGCGTCCGGCCTGGGCAGCGGCCACGTGTTCGACCTGGCCCTCTGCAGCGGCTCCAAACCGTAATCCTGCATGGCGACGGCGGTAAGCGAACAAGCCGACGCGACGAATTGATCTGTAAATTGTTTTGTTTCGAACCACGAGCTGGGACAGCGGCGACGAGGGTTTTCGCACTTTTTCTGTTACATTAATAATACGCTCGTTGCACGGCGGTAGGAATGTAGAGCGCGTGGGCCGATGAAATAAATCTCGAATTAATAATTTCCGAAAATCGAAACGAACGTAAAACGATAAGAGAAAAAAATAAAATCCTTTTAACGAAACAACACTGAAAAATACGTACGGGCAGTGGGTGGTAAACGCACGTAGATTCGTATAAAACGACGACGAATTAGAACAACGATAAACGTGCACACATCGCGACGTATACGCGTGCAATAGAAATACATACACCCATTGATATTATCGCGGAACGGTGAGCGCGACGGATACGAAGAGAGCACGTCACGAGTGCACACTAATTGCGCCGCAACTGAACCGTCGGCGGTGAGAACGTGACGCGC